GTCCGGGTCGACAAACCGGCACTATTCATGCCGGTACCGGTACCGGGCCGGGCCGGACCGGTACCGGGTCACGGGTCGGGCCACGGGCCGGGCCGCCCGTGGCCATGTCTAGAGTGTGTTCTGTCGTTGGAATTCAATTTAATTATTCGGTCATATATTAATATTTTTTACATCAATGATTATAGTTTCGACTTTGGAGATTTCCCCTGTTTTTATAGTGCTTAATCATACTCTCTCTTTTTTTAAATAAATGTCGTTTTGATTTTTTTGATTTATCTATTTTATTATGTATCTAGACATTAATATGTCTAGATACATAACAAAATGAATGAATCAAAAAAGTCAAAACGACATTTATTTAAAAAAGGAGGTAGTATGATTTATGGCTATTATATATAAAATATATAGCTAAATTTGTTCTATATAAACAACTATTTGTAAATTATTGTTAAAACTTCGATTAATGCAAAAAATAAAGTCATATCTAGGAGTACTCAACTGTTTCCGCACCAAACATTCATTCATCATGTTGGCACGCCCAAACATTCATTCATTATGTGGCTAGGAGTGCTCAAACGTCTCCACACCAAAGACCGGCTAGGATTCAAGGACAAGGACCCAACCTGCAACTTTTGCAACAATGCGAAGGAACCAGTGGGACACTTCTTCTTTGCCTGCCAATATAGCTCCCAAACTTGGGGCGAGATTTGTAATTGGGCAGGATTGCGCCATAGGCCATTGACACTAAAAGGCGCCTTAAATTGGACAAAAAGAGAAGTCGATGAGCATGTTGGCAGTCCAAGTTGAAAAAGACAGCCCTAGCAACAACGGTGTACTTTATTTGGAACGCTCGAAATAGACTGATCTTCGAAAATGAAGTTCAAACTCCTCAGCATGTCATTCGAAAAATACAAACCCACGTTTACCAAACCTTGTTCATATTGTACCCGAATGTTCTTGCCGACATTGAAAGAAGAGCTCTTGGAGTATGCTAGGCTACATTGATATGTTGCGGCCATCACCCGCACATGTGGACCGAGGCACATAAGACACTGGGATGTGCGATGTGCGGTGCTAGGCTTCGATATCTGCCCAATATGGGTTGCGTGCAGCGGCGGATCCAAAAATCTTCATGAGCCTGGGCAAAAATAATTCGACGAAATTCTTACTCATATTGCATAAAGTACTTATATTAACACTTAAATAAATCGTTGGAACAATCGAGTGTTGAGAGGTTATCTTTTCAATTTGCCTTTGACTTGATGCTAAAAAGTGAAATTGAAAATGAGATCTGGTTATTTTATTTTTCTTTTTTATTATTATTAAGAAATATGCCATATTTTACAATCTTTTTCCTTCTTTTTTTTTTAATAAGAAATAAACAAGTCATTTTGCAATATAGTTTATTAATTTAAGAAAAGTCTAAATGTCATCATTTATATTCTTGTTATTTAATAAAGATTTCTTTATGGATTATCTTCTTATATAAATATAGAGTTTTTCATTGTTAATTTCGAATGCTTTGTAATTATATATGATAATTTCTAAGGATTCAAATAGTCCATACAAATATGGGTCTTTTATCCCGTACTTTCAAATTGAATGCTTGGGTAACTTAAATTGTAAATATATTTTAAAAGTTAATTACGCTTATATATGTTATCATTTTTATATATGATAACTTAAATTAGTCATATTTTGACAGTATATAGTTTGACATTCATATTATATATAAATTAAAATAATTATATCTATCTGATTTCTATCAGTAAAAACTTCAATATTTATCAATTATAGTTGAAAAAAATAAATTTATCTATCAAGCTTATTATATTGCATAAGTATTAAAAATATAATAATATAACATCGTCAAATCTCACCGGTGAGGTATATCATTTTAAATAAAAACAATAATGTTATTTTGTAAGTACTATTTAAGATTTTAAAGTAAAAACTTGTATTCATATTTTTACACATACTTAATAAAAAAAATTTATTAACATATGTTAGTTATATAGTTAGCACAAAAAATTGAGCCTAGGCAATTGTCTTGGCTCGACCATATATGAATCTGCCCCTTGCTGCGTGCCGTACCACGCCTTTGATCTATGTTTCTGACTTATTTTACAACTATAGATTGAATAACTGACCTGTGGTTCGCCATCTAGATATCTAATCCGCGAGTGAAGAGTCAAAATTGTGGTTGCCCACTTACTTTGTATGCCGTGTGACGGTCCATGTACTTTCATTTTTTATCTACCAAATTACTTTTAAGGATAGGGAAAAAAAAAAAAAAAAAGTCATATCTAGTTATGATCATGTTGAGAACTTTGTCAAGTAAAAGTAAACTAGCATTAGTACCATGTACAATATGAGTGTTGAGTTAATAAATATATGTGTAAAATTATTTATGTCTAATACCAAACTTAATTCCAAAGCAAAAATAATATAAAAACAATATGACGAAGCATAGATTTTCGCCATGTCAGCATCCGAAGCGTGAGAATCAACCACCTAGGTTCAACACGTTTTGAATTAATATATAGGGAGGGATTAGAAAGTTGGATTTTCCACTTTTTGTTTGGTCACTCAAGAATATTACATTAGTTAATAGAAAAAGAGTCCAAAAAATACTATTAATTTATGCCATTTTTTCTCTACAAATTCACCTAAGCAATTGAAAACAAAAAATAACTATTTTCAGCATAATTACTATTTACTCATTTCCTGATTTTCTAACTATTTATCATTATTGATCAGTATTTTATTATTTTTACATCGCTTTGACTATGATCGTTGTATTTTTATTTCATATTCATTTATATTTAAAAAAAAAAAAAAAACCGTTTTGTTCGTGTAAAATTAACTTTTTTTTCTTACTTATTTTTTCATCTCTATTTCAGATTAGCATAAATTAAAATTTTCAATATCTTTTTTAGGCCTCATTTACTTTTCTTGATAGGATTATACAAAGTAGTCCAATCAACTTTACACGTCAGCGTATTGTCCTATGCTTAAATTAACATTACTGAATTAAAAATACTGAGGACAAAATGGGCATTCTTAAAGAGGATTAAAACATTCGGGGTCCCTCCAGGATCGAATGATCGGCCTATTGATGATTATCGTGTGGGCTCTGCAGGCACATGTACGCCATCTAAGTTATATCTTATCCATGTCCTTTGAAGTAAATGTTAGTTTTACCAGGATAATTTTCATTATCCTATATCCAATTTGCACTTAAGCAACTTGATGAAAATTGTCAACTTGGTGGTCATTCATTGGAAAATCGAATGGCCAATATAAGAAGAGGAGAAAAGAAAGAATTAGAAATTATTGAAATTATTAAAATAAGACATTTTAAATTATTATGAATTGAAATGCTAAAGCCAAAAGTGGTTGTCCACTTTTTACTAATTAATTCATTAATGGCGCGTTCAAACATAATACCGCATTAATAAAGGTATATTGACTTGATATGTAAATATTAGGAGTGGGTACTTAAATTAAGTTATAAATTAGTTTTAACTAACAACATAATTTATATTGGATGAAGGGTGGTAATTTGTGTGATTAATTTCGGAATTAGCAATAATTAGCTACACTAATTAAGCTAGTCAATGGGCATGAGTAGAGACTTTCCCCGTTGACTTGCATTTTCCTCATTTTTATTTATTTTATTATTACTACTTCCATTTTAAATCGAAAAAGAATAAATTTGAACTTTAGGTGAAATTAGAGAAAAATATAAAACTAAAAAAAAAAAAATACAAATGTGGATTATATGTATTATACATTTATTTTTATTTTTTTCTAGTTTGTTCAACAAAGATCTATTGTCATTGAAACTAAAACTAAAATACAAAAAAAAAATTCCGGATTAGTCGGTTCCCTTGTGGATCTGGAAACCGGAAGGTCCCTGTACCAAAAAAAAAAAAATAAAAAATTTCACAAAAAATGCTATTAATTTCATCTCACTTCTTATATTCAAATTCTTGTAATACAAATAAAAAATAAAAATTAATCAATATTACAGATTTCCAACATAATATATTATTCATTCACTTATATATTTATAAGTACCAAATTTTTTTATTTATTTTATTATTTTTATATTACATAAACTTTAAGCAATATATCTATACATCATACATATTCAATATA